ACAGTAATAATTAATTAGTTTTATATTTCACAATTTAAATTTTTGCGGTTAGAAATATAATTACAATAGTTAACTTAATACAAATTTTCTATACATTTATTCTAATTATACGAATTAAAACTGTAATTTACAACTGTTATTAATATACACATTTACTAGTAATTCAATCATTCAATTTTCTTTGGAAATAACGATAATTTACTTGAAAGTTTAATATGTTGCAATGGTGATTCATTTAATATTTCAGTTGCTGATACAAAATCATAAATATATTGAATCATTTATAATTATAACGGAATAGCAATTATGTAATCTTCCACTCTCATTACACCAATTCAATTTATTTACAAAAAATGAGCACATTTCATTTAAACTTTAATACTCATAAAATTACATTACTACTTACATAAATTTTTATTATTGTAAAATGGTATAATTATGAACAAATACAAATTTAAATTTGTTTATATAATTATAATAACATGTGTTTCCGTCCGTCCTGTACAAAATATTCAATGATTTTTTACATTTACAAATATAAACATTTCATTCTTTGCAATTTTACATGAATCAATATTTTCGAATATTTCATAAAGCAAAAACACTTACTATTTCATTACTTCAAATATAATACATCGGATTTATTTAATTAACTATAAAAGTTACATTTTGTAATAACTGAAATATTTGTATTGTAATGTTCCTATTATTATTATTATAAATAATTATATGAAATATATAATTGAATTTGATTGTAAAAGTATATTATAATGGATGAAATATTATGCAATCAGATACGATGTGTGCAAAGGCCACTGACCTTTAAGTCCTTGCGCCATCATTTACAAGAATATCATTATTGAATTGCATCACTTGAGATTTTTATATGGAGATAATTTAATATAAAATATAGTTAATTCCCAAGAGATGTATTATTTTTATTATTAAAATATACAATTTAACGGTATCAGAGATAAATAATGTATTAATATTATAAAATATTGCTTGATAGTAGTTTTAAGCTGTACAATTTCATTGATTCACCTATATTGTTTTAATAATTTGAACGATATTAATGTGTTTGTCATAAATCATGATTTTGAGGCAATTTGGACAATTTGTTAGGTAAATCCATAATTTTTTAAATAATTTTGATTATTACATATTCAGTGAAAATGTTGAACATAAGAAATGGGATGAAATAATAGATTTGGGCAATTTCTTTAGTAAATATATAATTTTTATAATAATCAATTGGAACGATTTTTAGTGATAATGGTGGAAATAGGAAAGAATTTCGAATAAGAGAATTTGATAATTGTTTAAGTAAATCTATAATTTTTATAATAATTTCAATTGAAATGATTTAGTTGTAAAACTTATAATGTATGATTTTCAGTTAAAAATAGGGAGTAGATAACAGGATTAAATAAGAGATTTGAATAATTTCTTTGCTAAATCTATAACTTTTAGAAGAATTTGAACAATTTTGTCGTAAATGTTATATGTAATGATTTTCTGTTTACATAATGAATATGGGAAACATGATTGAATAAGAAATTGAACAATTTCTTTGATAAATCTACAATTTTTAGAAAAATTTCAATTGGAACAATTTTCAGTAAAAATGGGAAAAATAGAAAACAGGACCAAATAAGAGATTGAGACAATTTCCTCAGTAAATCTATAATTTTTAATAATCTTCAATTCCAACGATTTTGTTGTAAAATCCATAAATCATAATTTTCTGTGAAAATAGGAAACGGGATTAACAATTTAAATTGAAACGATTTTCAGTAAAAATAAGATACAGGATTAAATAATGAATTTGGCCAATTTATTTGGTAAATTTATAATTTTTATAACAATTTAAATTTGAACCTTTTTGTAGTAAAATTCATAAATCATGATTATCTGTGCATATGATGAACAAAGGATACATAATTGAATAAGAGATTTTAACATATTTTTTTTTTTGGAAAATCTAATCTGGAACGATTTTGACGTGAATGCCATAAATCATGATTTTTCAGCGTGAATATAGGAAACAGAATTGAATAAGAGAATGTCTATCTATCTACCAGTTTAACAATTTATTCTGCCCTTGGGTCGCCCGAACGGTGTAAATATCATTTAAATATACATCAGAAATACAATAATAGTTTTCTCCCAATAACAATAATAATGGTGTACGAATATTGTATGCAATCTCGGCTTGTTAAAAGAAAGTTATACCTTTGAACGCGGCGAATATTTGTTAGAACAATAAAATACATGCATTGCAGGTAACTCTGCAGGCGCAAACTCTCGGTTGCACAATAATTACAATCGGTACTTAATTCCTCAATAGCTTATTCAAATCGCTCTGGAAATTTGCATGCTGCAAATCTCCGTGCAGATTTATGTTCGTAAGCAAAGAACTAATGCATATACACAAGTTGTGTGTGTATATATTCCTTCGGTTCTGGTTAAGTTTAACCTTGCATTCTTTTTTTCCTCACTGTCTTACACGCTCTAACAAACCATTCTTCTTAACCGCTAATCTACAGTTGCCCAAGGGGAACGCATCTCTCTTGGACATGACCGAAGATTAGTCCGGTAATTTTTGACCGGCAGCAAATCCGCAATCAATGAAACGAATGACTGCCATTCCGAAGACTTTCACGGCCGTAAATCCTTCCAATGCTCTCATCCAACCCGACATTTATTCACCCATCTATTCGCAACTGATTCCACATAATTGCCTGCACTTGCACCAATCATATGTTGTTGCAGTAAAACCATGCATATAACTTTTGTAATTTTGTTTAAATTAGTTAATTATACGACTGCGAAGAACTGTTACTTTGTATTCAGTGAAACTAATGTGCTAATGTATGCAAATTTGTTAAGAATTTGTCCATTAGAAATTTCACAATTATTTTCATTTTCCACTATATTTTATCAAGATAATATGATAGAAAGACAGTTTATTTTCTTTAAAAGTAGATGATTTGTGAATGTCTCATACATAAATGTAGTTATTACAATTTTTTCATACTTCGCATACTATTTGAAACCGGACTAAACGAGAATTGAACATTTTATTTTTATTTAGATCAATTCAAATTTAGTTTGTTTTGAAATTTTCAAATCGGATTATCCGGACTGCCGGACTATGTGAGGTATTACTATAATACTTAAACATCTACATCTTTAATTGCATTTTAATTATAAATATCTGCATGACCTATAAAATTATTATTATTTTTTTTAAATCATTTTATGAAAAATGATTTTATATACAATTGTGTAAGGAATGTCCATGAATTTCTGCATAGTGTTAGAAAGGCTATATATTATAGGTGTTTACCGTTGTTTGCATAGTTTATGAAATTATATAATTTATAGATGATTTTTTTTCGAGGATGTTGGCACGTAATTTACTAAGAAAAGAGTGATTGATTTCTCTAGTACAGTGGGTTATGCATATTAAATAATGATTCATATGTGGAAGGAGGAGGAAGTGTATTTAGTTGTTAAGATACGTTCTTTTTGAGGACGTCAAACAATAAATTTACCAAAAAATTAGTAATAGATCTTATAGATAATTCTCATTGTTTACACGAATCTAATGGAATTACCTATTTTTTTGTTTTATTTCTAAAAACAGTGATTTATTACTCACATATAATTTGTTTTTAAGGTCAATAAAGCAAATTAACAAAATAAAAAGTTTTACTTTAAAAAAGTAGTAATTCAATATATTAAATAATTGTAAAATAAAGTTTGTCTAGACTTTATGAATATGTTTTTTTTTCTCAAGGATGAGATCACTTAATTTACTGAGAATTATAATTGATTATTCAAATACATTGGGTTATGCATATTGAATTATGAATGAAATCGGTATGGATGAATGAATTTTCATAATAAAGATATGCTCATTTTTTAAGGTCAATAAATGAATAACATATTATGAAAAAAAAGTACTATTAGAAATTAGAGAAGAAAACATTTAATTATTAAAAAGTCTATTTTTTCATTGATTTGTGGACTAATTAAGTGAATTTAATAATTATAAATATGTTTGTTTTGCCAATATAATAAAATACAAGATTTTATTAAAAAAGAGTATAAAAATCTATAAAATTTTATATTTTTTTGATAGATTTTTATCGAGAAAAAATAATTCGTCAAATAGACTATTGTTTCAATGGTTTGTGGATGAATTAAGTGAAAATAGTAGTTAAAATACATTTGATTGATCAATATAGTAATAAAGAAATAAGTTTTAATAAAAAAGATATTCTCGAGAAAAAATAATTTGTCAACGAATTAGTTGAATTTAGTATTTGATTGACTAAAATATTAAAGTAATAAGTTGTACTAAAAAAAGAGTATAAAATATTTTTGTAAGTAGATTTTTTTGTGAAATAATGATTTATTATAAAGTCTATTTCTTCATACATTTGTTTGAGTAATATAATAAAGTACAAATTTACTACAAAAGTATAAAATTTTATAGAATTTATAGTTAGATAGATTTTCTCGAGATTATTAACATTAACTTTCTGAAAAATTTAATGTAGTTTTGTAATTAAGATAAATTTTGTAAAGACATAATTATTCAAATATTTACATTTGATAAAAATAGAAAGAAATGTTGTAATGTGATTAATTAAAATTATTATAATTTTTGGAAGATTTTAACATTTCATTCTATAGAAGAACACATTATTATACAATAATTATTCAAGTTTTATTACAAAAATAAGTTATTTTGTAATAATAATTTGAGTGGATTTTATATCTTAATTTATTAGTTATAGGAATTGTTTATAATTCTTCAAATATGGATGTACGAAATAGATTTAGTAGTTAAGTTTCATTTTGGGCCCAATAATAAGTTTTACCAAAACAAATAAAATGACATAAAGGATATAGTGTGCATATGACGTGCACTCATTGTTATCTCTTATCCAGATAAATCGAACGTGCTTTCTTTCTTTCTGTTCCAGATGAGAAACGACGACGCGGCTACTATTGTGGATCTAGTAGCGTAATGAGCCAAATGAATCATCCATCCGCGATGACAAACCCGAACAAATAATAAATACAGCACGCGTCTCTCGAAGCCTTCAGTCTTCCGAAGACACTCAGATGATCAGATCGACGGTACCTTCTAGCTAGACAGACAGACACTAGGTGTAGTACTACAATCCATCCGTACGACGAAGTATTTATATTGTCCGCATCGCTGGGCACTGGTACTGCCGCTGTTGCTGCTGCTGCGAAGAGACGGCGCCGGTATTTTTAGAAACCACGTGTGAATCCTCTCCTCATGTTGATGGGATAAATTTAAAAAAAAATAAAACAAAAATAAAAGATATATAGAAATAAAAGCTGAAAGGAAATTAGTTACATATGATACAGTTTCCCACACACCAAAAACGTTCAGTTTTCTTTTGTGTGTTTATGAGTGAGATCTGCAATTGACCAATTAAAACATCGAGGACCAAAGCAGAAACCGCAACAAATTGTGTGTGTGTGTTTTTTTCTTCTTCTCATATTGTGGACTATTTTCGTTATGTTACACGGGTGTGATTCAGTGAATATGTGAATAGGTTTCTATTTTATTTTTTTTCTTGTGAGTGAGTGTATTATTTTTTTGGACAGTGGCTTCATAAAATCTGGGCACGATGCCCTCGAAAAAGCAGTACGATTTGGTGCAAAACGATGACTATGATACCAGGATACCGCTGCATCCTGAAGAGGCCTTCCACCATGGAATCACATTCCAAGCCAAGGTAACGCCAACAAATCCATCATTTTTTTTCTTGTTTGTTGAAATTTCTTTCCTTTATTCTTGTTTTTCAAATGGTATTTATGATTCAGTTCCTCGCATCCGTACATCTGCGGCCTGACCTATTTTACACGCGTCTTAATAAATTTTCCGTTTTCGCAATATCCCCCACATCTCGATAATAAATGTATGGTTTGGAGCATCACAAGGATTGATGAATCCAGAAGATACAATTTCCTTTCTTTCAATGCTCTGATTACATTTTGTATTTTTAATTATATCATCCTGATTTAACACTTAACATTTATTTAAAACAGGTAAATTTAAATTACTATTTAAGCGCATTTAATAAGTTTTACCAAAATTGGTACAAAATAAATACAATTTCAATTGAATACAAAATTATATGTGTATAACATTATTTGCTTAAGCAATAATTAGTGATGATTTTACTGAAATCAAATGTATCAACTTAATTTTATAGTGTTACACATATATAATAATTTAAAATTGGTTACAATGGTGATTTAGAGATTTAGAGTATATTTTAGATTATTTGGAGGTAATAAATAAACTTTAGTAAAAATGTTAGATTTTACAATATTTTAATACTTCAAAGTATAAAAATGAGATAGATTTAGTCTGTTATAGATCTATTAATAAATACGTTTTTCCTAAAAAGTTGCAAAATTGATATAATTCAATTTGAGACAGTTGAGATTTTTGCATTCTTTCAAAATTATGCAACAAAAATACTAGAAACAAAACTATTTTGTATATGTGTTCCACATTGTTGAGTAAATTGCTCTGAAATACAATAAAAGCACTGGTCCTGAATGATTCAAGATGATTTTTCTTTTGGACGCTTAGAGTTAGAAAGTTGAGTTTTAGTTTTTTCAAAATTGTGCAAAAATAATACTACATTTCTTTGTATGTGATAATGATTGAAATTTGTAAGAAGGAAATGGTTTGAGTTATAAAATACGTTTTTTTTTTGTTATACAATCAGTATTGAACAAATATACAAAATGTTATTATTTTTTTAAATAGATACTTTGTTTAGGTAATAACTATAGTTGATTTTGGATTATTTTTATACTTTATTGATTTGAGTTGAACATATTGTTATAACGATTCCAATATATGAAGACAAAAATATTTTAGGAAGTTTTACCAAAAAATAATTGTAATTTACATAATTTTAACAGTTTACTAGATTTATATTTATTAGATATTTTGTCAAATATGAATGAAACAATTAATCTGGGATTAATTATTAATCATGATATAATGGCATAATACTATTTAAATTAACAAATTCTACATTATTTTTATCAATCTCGATAAATAATCTATAGAATATCAGAATAAATCAAGAAAGTATACGTTTCTTTCCATCAACGCTACAATTACATTTCGTACTTTTAATTATTTATAATATCCTCCCATTTTATTCGAGCATCGAACAAAATATCATTGTTGAATCTACGTATACTGTAAATACAATCCGTTATAAGCGTGTTTATTACCCAACGTGTTTACAGTCAAAAAACTCGATCGAAAGTGTTAACAGCGTTCACCAAATGTTATAATAAAAATATCTTAGTTTTTCATTAGATTAATCAATGAAAAAAATCTGTATATTATTGATAACCTAACGAAAACCTAAGCTATTTTCACAATAAATACGTTATTAACGCGGAGAATTAATATCGGCTTTATGAGAAAAAAAGACTTTATTTATTGCGCTTACATAAATCTCTGTGGATTCGGCGAGATCTTCTAGAAATAAATCGAGATAAGCTTTTTTAATTAAAAACCGTTCTTAAAATATACATCGTTTCAATATACATTTCAAGAGCCGATTTCAATAAAAAATATACTAAGCAAACATAATTATTGTAAACTGATGTAAACCAAGTATATTCAAAAATATATTTGTATAAATAGAAGTACCTCGCATAGTCCGGATTCGATCAGTCCTGATTCACTATAATCCGGTTTGATCAACCCTTCTTTATATAGTGATAATCTCTTTTTGTGCGTTTATTATTCATATCCTCGATTAGTGCCGTTTCATACAATGCGGGGTTTTGCTGTATTTCTTAATAATTTATATTTAAATTTCGATATTTTCCAATTGGTTAACGTTTGTTTAAAAATATATTGGTATTATTTATTATTTTCTGTTAAATTGTTTTATTGTAATTATTTATATCGTAATATTATTCATATTTTATCTAAACTTCCTTCTCTACATATTTGGATGTAAATTACAAGTTTTTACATCATTAATTAGATTTACTAAATTAATTTCTCTAACTAATTATTAAAGAAATAGATTGATTCCAATAAATTCATATTTTTTGAAATTTTGAAACAAAACCAAGATTAATTCAACAAACGTTTTACATTCTCACACTATTCAGTTTTAATTTGCATATTCATATTTCAATGCATGTTAATTGGTTATTGATATATTATTTAAATTGTAAAGCCGAGTGCATTAAATTTAATTGCTTCACATTAAAAGAAAACAGAAAGTCATATGATAATAATTCAAAGTTTAAAGTTCTCAATTAGTCCGGTTTCAATCAGTTCAATATATTAGCAAATCCGATTATCTGCACTATATATACTTCACATAGTATAAAATTTTATAAATTACAAAATTATTTATTTCTTATTTACGTAAATAAGAAAAATAATATCTTTTTTTTCATAAATTTATACATTATTTTTACAAACAATTTAAATATTGAGATTAATAATAATCATTAGTGAAGAATCAAATGGAAAGCATTTATGACCTCATTAACATCTTTCCAGTTGTAATTGATGGCAATAATTTACTTGAAACCAATTTCTTATAACCCATTTCTCTCGCCAATTTTTTATTTTTGGTATAATTTTAAATTACTTACTTAAATTGGATAATTGTACACCATGAAAATTGTATGTATAACAGTAATCAAATTAACACAGTTTAATTAACCAAAACCAATGATTTTTTTGTTTCCTTCAAGAAAGTCATCAATTCTCATTATATTTATACCAAGTTAAGAAGTTAAGTTAGAATTAAAAATAAAGTTTTATGAAATTGTCGAATTTTGTATGTATGTTTTCTACATTGTTACTTATTATAATTTTTTGTTTTCAAAATTTTGAATTTTAATAAAGTGTAAAAATAATTCAAATTGTGCATTGATTATGTAACAAGAAATAAGCAATTTTGGTATATTCAGTATAAAAAAATAATAGATTTTTAGTATAAACTCATTTATTTAACTCGTGCTGAATCTATGATTTTACGAACAATGTTGTATATGTGAGTCATAACTCTGCTATGAATCGAACGAAATTTCTGAAAGAATGTGCATATTCTTAGAAGTATTTACTTATTCAATTGAACAGAAAGTTTTCACGAAATATATTCATATTTTTAAACTAATTTCATATTAAGAAAGTAGAAATAATTTCAATATTTTACTTATAAAAACGTTTAATATTAATTAAGTTCAATTTTTTTTCGTGTAACCTACCTTGTCTATTTTCTAATAAATATAATGAATATAGCTTAAATTTTGTAACTTATTTGTAGAAATCCTTTGAAAACATGGACAAGTTATTATATAAGAATGTATACGTTACATTTACGATGTAATAATTTAAATTAAATAATGTAATTGAAACGTGCAAAGCAGGATGATTAATAGCAAAAAATATTTCTCTATTATAAATCATCCACATGTTAACACCAATTAATTTGTGGCCTTGATAAATTGTTGTAAGCCACACGCAGCATAATCAATGA